CTTGATGCATTTTTTCTTTTATAAATGTATTTACATAATTGAAAGGAAGTTTCTTTTCGGCAAAGATTTTTGTTTTTTTTCTTTTTTCGGAAAGGATTTATCCAAAATCGTTTCTTTCTGATATCTGTTTTCTATGAACGCAAGGTAAAATAGCAAATGAGATGGTGGGTTGCTATAAACAAAAATCAAAGAGAACTGAAAAAAAAACAAAAAAAAAACTCAAAACAAAAAGATAAATGAAAAATTAAAAAAAAAAAAGAAAAAAAAAAGGGAAAGCAACATAAGTTTTTTAACATTTTATATATATATATAAATATTTACATATGTTAACTTTTGAAAAAATTACCCACATGTTATTTTCTGTAGATGATAGAATCAAAAGTTTATCTACTACTTATCTTTTTTTCTGAATTGAGTGAAAAGAAAAACGATGAGATGTAATACAAACACGAAATGGAAGAGGAGAGGAAGGGAAAGGCAGAAATAAAATTAATCTTCAAATATTACCAGTATGTGAAAAGAAACTTAAGAATTTAGATAACCTTAATTCAAAGGAAAATGGTGAAACCACATGGAACAGCATTTCCAATTAACAGCCCAAAATTAACCTCAAATAAGAAAGTTACAAAGACTAAATAAGTGCTTCCCATTCACTTGTCGCTTCAAGAGATTATTGTTACTTCCATTAGGTGTATTGTTCAAGTGCTGACTTTCTCTTTTTTTTTTTTTAGTTCAGAGATAGGCTTAAGTTTTAGCTGTTAAATAAAAAAAATTTTTTCCAATGTAGTGTTTTGTTTTCTACAAATGTGAGAGAGAGAGAGAAAGAAAAAAAAGAGAGACGGTAATATTCAAACATTAAAAAAAGAAGAAAAAAAAAAAAACAATGAATTTCCCTACCAAATATTTATACTCACTATCATACTTTTTTATGTAACAATTTTCTTTGATTGTATTTTAAAACCAGTTTTTCTTTCCAGTAAGAAAGAATATAAAAGAAAAACAAACAAGTCAGCAGAAATAGGTGATTTGTGAATGCAACATTTTTATATATGTGAATACCCCTTATGTACAAACCAGAAATGGTGTTCAATTTTTTTTTTCTTCTTCAGTCTTTGTTATATATAATTTTTTTAAATTTTCTTTTTCTTTGGCTGCCAGAGTTCTTTTGTTGGTGTTTGTTTTTTTTTTTTCTCTTTCTTTCTTTCCTTTGTTATATTTTTCCCTTTTAATAATGTGTGTAATTGGAGAGAGAAAAAAAAAAAAGAAAAAAAAAAAAAAGTAGATATCTTTGTTATTGTTTCTCAATATACAAATATGGCACATACCCAAAAAATGTGCTTCTTGGTTTGTGCTTGTTTCCAGGAGAATCAAATTTGATAAGAAATGACCCCCTGAAAAAGTAAGTTCGAATACAAGAAAAATGTGGAGGGGGGGGGAAACAAATAAAAAAAAAAAAAAAAAGAAAAAAAAAGGACACCCACACATACAAAATAATATTATGCATTACAAAACATTTGGGGGCAAGGGGAACAAAATTTTGGTCCTTCAGGAAGAGAAGTTTATTCCTTTCACTCTAAAAAAAAAAAAAAAAAAAAATTTTAAAAAACCAACTTTTTTTCCACTTCATTCAGTAGAGGTAGATGACTGAAAAGTACAGAATAGCCCCCACCCCACCCCACAATGCAAATCTAATATTTTAACATATCCCCACCCTACCCAAAAAAAAAAAAAAAAAAAAAAAAAAGGAGGAACAAAAAATGTTTCCTCAATATTAAGAGAAGTATTAACATTTCTTTCTTCCGATTATGAAGAAAGTGCTTTTGTACCTGATTCCCCACCTTTTCTTTCTCTAGTTTGTCAACCATTTTGTTTTTTTTTAAATACATCTAATTGCTACTCTAATAATTTATCATAAAAAATAAAAATAAAACTTTAAAGTTATTTACTAAATAACAGTTACAGCAACCAACATTTCTTTTTTTACCATAAACATTAGAAAAACTTATTTTATCCTCCTTACTACTGTTGGAAACTAATAAAAGGAAAAAAAAAATAAATAAATAAAAGTGGGGTGGGAATAAGTGCTGCTAAAACTGCAGTTATTCCTGGCTTTCTGGAAGTAGATTATTAAATATAAGAAAAGGCTGATAAGAACTTTGACAGGTTTAAGATGCTGATCACAGGGCTCATGAAGTATCCAGACACCCACTCCTGGTTTTTCACCCATCTTTCAACATCCAAAGAAATTATATTTTTCAATTAAATGAAAAAAATTTAATCCATTGCTATATATTTTTAAAAGATAGAAGTAATCTTTATTTCATTGCTTGTCCCTGAGAAATTACTCTCTAACAAAAAAAAAAAAAAACTTTTCTTTATACATTTTTCTTTCTCAAAGGTATAGTGTATGTGTGTGAAAGCATATGGTTGGAAGGAGGTAGAAAAACACTTCTGTATATTTTGTAAAAGTTTATGAACTACAAACAAACTAGTTACATTAGATTTTACAAGGAGACAAGTCTTACAATTTCAACAGCACAAGTCTGTATTAATAAAGACAAACCATGTAACTATCATTACACCTGCCCTTTTAGTGTTGTAACTAAATGTGTCAGTGATTAATAAAATAAATAAAATTTCTCCTGCATCAAAATATTTTAAATTAAAAATTTTAAATAGCAAAGAACTTTACTTAGTTTGAGGTTGGTCAACAAAAGTCAAAGAAAATGACCCTTGGCATTTTTTCTTTCTTTTTCCCCAGTGTTTACTAGGTTTAATTTAGTTTAAAAGGTCAAATAGGCATCGATAAATTGAATTATACAAATCTCCCAGATGAGGAAAGCCAGCCTGCCTTGAAAAATCAGCTTTCAAAAATCATGGCTTTTATCTGGGTTTGAACACAGACCACTGGAGCTGGTGGGAAATATGCAACTCTCTCTCGCCCAATAAGCAGACCACCAATGACATCCAATTTTTAACAGGATTTGAATGCTAGAGCCAACTGGTCAAACAATGAAAAGGTGTAGAGGGCGGGGCAGTGGGTGCTAAAGGCTTTGCATCGTCTTGCTCTTGACAGGATCATTTTCCACCTCTACTTCCTAGTTTGTTTCTTTTCATGTGTATCTGTGGAAGGGCAAGAACTTTATATTATAATGTTAAAAAATATAATTTGCTGAAACCAGTCTCTGCAAATAAAATTCTTCTCTCTTTGAGAAATTACTTGCAATACCTATGTTAATAACACAGACAATAACAGTTTGGAGATATGGTGAAAAAAAAAAAAAAATCAAAAGACTGTCTAGAACAATTATCGCATCCATATAAATTCTACAGGTGGAAGAGAGTGAAGAGTGTGTGTGTGTGGGGTGGGTGGGGTGGGGGAATGACTGTTCTGCAATAAAAAAAAAAAAAAAAATCAGGATGGTGGCAAAAGACCCCTTCCCTCTGCAATAAACATACCTTTGCAACCCTTTTTGTAAGTAGATGAGTCCAGCATACCTTTACCTCCATTATTTTTTGTTTTTGTTTTGTGTAGCAGAAACATGGAATACAATGAGAAATTGACTCCTCAGCTTAAAGGTTGTGTGCTATGTATATTTGTGGATAGATGAGAGAGAGAGAAGAGGAGGAGGAGAAATTAAAATGATGATAGCAAGCAAGCAGCTTAATTTAAAAGAAAAAAAAAAAATGCTTGGAAATGAAAAATGTATACTCTTTTTATATACTTATATGTAATGAATAATGTGTTCGAAGAACTATATACATATTTGATTGTGTTTTGGTGAGTGTCAATATATATATATTTGTGTGTGTGGCACCAAGGTTTTACCATTGGTTCTCCCAATTCTATTATGCTGCCTGAAAAGTCTTGGGAGCAGAGATTTTCTTCATGTATTTTTTTTTTTTTTTTACAGATATTTCTCTCCGTTTATCTTTCATGTGACAATGTAACAAAAATGAAGAAAATGACAATGTGACAAAAATGAAGAATGGTGGGGAGTGGGGTAAGGGATTAAAAATAAAATTACTGTAACTTTTTTTTTTTTTTTAAATGAAGTCTGTTACTTTACATTTCACTGCCAAATTCATTTTTTAAAAAAAAAAACAAAAAACAATGTTAGTCAGGAAGAATTACCATACATCTTGCTTTCAGTCAGTGAAACCTATTTCAACAGGCAAAACTAAGAGAGTAGTGGTTATTCTTTTTTTTTTTTTCCCTTGTTGAGGTTTTTTATTTATACTGTTGTTCTTCAGACCAGATACAATTATAACAGTTAATCTAAGAAATTCCAACCCCAAAATTATCCCCCCCCTCTTATTAGAAGATCTAATTTCAAGAAGTTTTTAACCTTGAAACAGAATGTGTGTGTGTGTGTGTATAATATATACACTTTTAAAATCATTACTTTATACTTTTTTTTTAAAAAAAAAAAAAAATTACTATGTTTAAGAAAAATAATTTTATCAATTTGAGAGTTTACCCTAATCCTCAAGTTTTTCAATTCGTTACAAGCACAAAGGTCATTTCCTCAATACTCAGTTATCTAACCTGATAGACTTTCAGACATAAATGTTCCAATTCCATTAGCATTCTCTTCATCACTTACACATGTAATCATACCATAAAAAATCCTTTTTTTTTTTCATTCCTTTTCAATTTTCTCATGATTGAGACTCAGATTATGCCTACATGAGCAATGAGTCTTCCTCCTCCCCCTACACCCCCACCCCAAAAAAAAAAAAGGAAAAGAAAAAAAAAAATCTTTTATCAGTCAGTCACCTATCTGAGAAGGCTCTCTAAATTTAGGAGCCAGGGGGACTAGTTGAAAAGTTTAGAAGTGATTCAAGTCAAACAAATATCTTCCTGGTTGGATTCTTTTCTTTTGAGGATTTAAAATGTTCAAATTCCCAGAGAGAAAAACAGGAAATAAAAAATCACCCCATTTCCAAGAAATGTCTGACAGTTTCAGTAGAACAAAAAGAAACTAAAAACGTCCTTTTTAGAACATCACTTCATACAGTGTTGCTTTTTTGTCCCCGGAACCTGTGACGATGTATTTATCATCTGTAGAGATATCACAACTGAGAACTGATGAGGATTCCTTTGACTGAAAAAAAAAAAAAGAAAAAAAAAGTTAATTTGAAAATGTTACAGTGAAAAAAAACAAACAAAAAAACAATATTTGAATATGTTTTTTTATTATTAAACCAAACAGTATTTCTTATATATTTTTTTTTTTTTCAGTCTTTTCTCTCAATCAAAGTGGAATGGTCCATTATTTATCTGAGTTAATGGCAGAATGTAATGCATGTGTTAACTTACCAATGGAGAAACAAACAGAATTATATGATTGTAATAAAGTACTAAATGAAGACAGACCATAAAATAAATTCATAACAGTTCTGATAATCTTGAAAATCACAAAAACCATAAAAATTAAGAGTAACATCAAACAACTGAACAGTGTTGAGACAACTACCCTAACAGCCTGGGTAAGTTGAGTCAACTTTTGACACCAACTTTTAGCACCCCCAATGTTCGCCCTGTACAAGGCCGAGAGCCACTCAAAATGCAGGGTTCCAGCATAGGAGGCAAAAGTTTATGCAAATATGCAGGGAAGATAACACTTAACTCTAGACTTGAACAGGTTAAGATTATAGCGATCAGGAAAGTGGTAGACTTACTAAGAATTGTTTGCAAATCAAGCTTACATGGCAATGTTCTGTATATATTTCTATGTAGGTTTACAAAGAATAACTTAGCATGGTACAAGGTCACAAGACTGGAGCACCAAGTGAATACTCCATGGCAAAGTTGATGGTTCCCTGAGAATTACTCAGTCAGTAAAGTGCCATATATGATAGAGGTTCGAGTGATTATGTCTTTTCATTTCATGACTAACTAGGCAGAAGCTTTTTTCCCCACAGTAGGTTGCCGTCAACCAAGGCTACAGGACCCAGTGTGTTCTGCTATTCAACCCATAACTGGAGGGAGAAGTGGTTGATTCAGACCTTTCCCAAGGATATTTACACCTAAGTGAATGTAATGTACCCAACGGAATTAGAACTTAGCTCTTCAATTTATATTCCAAGCCAATATCTATTACACAACACATTCACTACTACTACTAATAACAATAATACTAATAATGTCTTATCCCTTTATCCTAATATTGATCATGATGAAGGGATTGAGGCATACAGCAAAGCTTTTGAGAAATGCAAAAACCAACCCATTCTGTCAAACTTTGTTTCATCTTGGAAAGCAACCCAAAGTTTGGGAAAGTTTTTCCACAAAACAAAAAAAAAAAAAAAGAAAAAAGAAAATAAAAAAAAAAAAAAAAATGTGCAATGGCCATTAGCTTTGCAAATGTTTAGACTAATAATAATAATGGCCTCTAATTTTTGAGTATACCTCTCCCTTTTGCAGTTACCTGGCCAGGCACATTTTTCTTCAACACCCACAGAGCACACCTGTGAGTTAAACTGCAACTATGCTGATCAAATCTCACTTTATAAGAGAGAGAATCAATAGCTTAGTTTCATCTATTTTCATTCATAAGGCTTGAGTCAACCCATAGTATCATTTTCAGTTACATGCTGGGATCATCTCCCTGCCAAATTAACCAGTGTGATATTTGGACCTAGGAGGTCTCATTGTTAGAACACTAACATTCTAACCACATGGCAACAATCACATAATAGTTGGCATTTTATATCTTTTTTTTCTCTCTGTATTTTAGGTAGCAAATGTTCTTTAAGGTAAATACTATTAAAAACAACAACTTGTGTTAATTTTCATGGTAGACTTTTTCAAGTAACGAATAATCCTTCTTGGACAAGGAGGAAATTCCATCAGAAATTATCTTTGTGCCAGATTTAGAAGAGAGTGGGTTTGAAAGTGTGGTTGAATACTCAGTGGTTCATCAGATTATGGTCAAGAGTTTGCAGTTGAAAATTTAAATACTATTAATTTAAAATTAGAACAACTGAATTTGATAATAAAACAGGCATGACTATAGATGGACAAATGAAGCTGTGATGGATTGCATGATTGAATTTATTTATCACAACTATTGAGTATTATGGTACACAGAATTGTATAGCTAAGAAACTGGATTTTTAAATTGGTGAAGAGTCGCTTCTCTACCTAAAAGCTAAATGCTGGAAGGAGTCAAAGTGAACATCATTTTAAAATGCTAACTGTAAATTTTACCCATTTAATATTTATAGATCTTTAACAAAATCAGAACCAAATATCTTTAATTTATATAAAGTAAAAATAAGTTTAGAAGGTATTTCTTACCTGGAATATGCTTGCTCCAAATGGAGTTCTCCAGGCATTCAGCAGATTGTCTTTACCAGTACTGACAAACCATTTGCCACAATAAGCAAATTTAAGGGAAAGGACACAACTCTCGTGCAAATGTAACTGATATTTGTCAGCTTTTGTGTGATGGAGCACTTCAACATTACTGCTCTCCATCCTGGAAAAACAGACAAGTTTGCATCAGTAAAGAACTTTTCCAGACGATAAAATACTTTACATTAGATGAACATAAAAAACAATTGACATCATCACCAGAGAATAAAGCAACAATTATAAATAAGTGAATACTTACCCTACGGCTAACCATTCACCAGTAGGACAATAGCCAAGGGAGAAAATTTGTGACGTAAAGTCATGTTGTTGGAGTTGCCGCCCCTGAAAATATTAAATATACTTCGTTTTATGTTTTTCCAAAAATCTAAGGACAAATTAAAAGTCTGTCTTACAAAATAAAAAATTACGTCAATAAGATTTTGTACAAGTTGTCTCCCCCGCCCATCAATAACAATAATTGAAAGAAGTTTTAAGCATTTCCTGCAATTAATATTTTTTGTTTCTTTTACATATCAATTTTATGAACAATGGCATCTGTAACCTTTACAATTTATCAATGTCACAATAAAAATAATTACAATTTAAACTAAAAGTAATTAAATTTTATTAAACAGTTAAATTTTCCCCTCCTATAGTCAATTTGTAAGGAGGTAATTAGCAAAATAAGATAAAAATTATCATGCAATCAAAACTGATGCTGACCTCTCTGAGATCCCAAGATCTGACTGTGTTATCCAATCCACCAGTCCACAATTTTGTACCATCAGGAGAAATATCAATACAGCTTGCTCCATCTGTATGACCTTGGAATTGCCTGAAAACATTAAATTTTTATTTTATTAGAACCCCAATTATATTTTGATAAGGATTTTGCATAAATCTGTCTATTTTAATCCTTTCATCTAAATTTCAGCTCCAGATGGAGGAATTTGTGAAGGAGCACAACACCACTCATTACATAGTAGGATAAAAAAAATAAGATTTTTCTATGAATGAATGAATATCACCAAGTGATATCAAAAGAGTACTGAAAAATTCTTCTCTAACAACAGCTGAGAACTTTTTAGAACCCTATTTTGAATATTATTTAATAAAGCGTTGTCAAAAAATTCATTTTTGACTAGTATTTCATTTCAATCTCAATTGCTTCTCATTGCAAATAGTAAAGAATATAGATTGGAAATTGTGTTAATAGCAATCCAAGCTCAGTTCCCAAAAATCCGAGGTGGCAAACCCAAGGATCAAAAATAAGTCTCAATTCCAACACCAGAAAATACCAAGGTTATAAATAAAAAAAACGTTAAAAAAGAGAACTTGGTTCCCACCACAGAAATAGTGATTAATATTTATAAACACTTGACCAACATTAATTTTTGCAAATGAACCAAAGAAAACCTTTCAACAATGATTAACTTGAATACAAACTGCCTACTTTCCATTTTAAATATTTAACAAAAAAAAAAAAAATCCATTCCCACATTATTAATTTTAGTACTTTTCTAACATACTACTTGATGAGGATGAGAGACGGGGACAGAGAGATACGGTGACAGAGAGGGACGGGGACTGAGACTTACCTGACAAGTGTCTGGTTATGGAGATCCCAGACTGCAATATTACCATCACTGCAACAACTAAAGCAGACTTTGGAGTCAGGACTGATAGCCAAAGCATAACAAGCTGGTGCACTGGATGTCAACTCAGCCTTGATTCTGGGTGTTGGCTGCAAGAAAAATCAGAAAAAAACAAATATAGATTTCATCTATGTTCCCTGTTTTATCAAATTCAAAATAAGTTTTTTATGTATTGATTACAAACTGCATATTTCTAATATGGAGGTGGGTATATTATAGTTTAAGGAATCTATACTGCAAAACCATTTACTATCAAATAAATGCTGACTGATCACCACGGAAAAAATCAGATTAACATGAATTTTTACAAAGATATTTGAAGCTATTGCTTGGTTAAATATTAAAAGAAAAACAAAAGCAGTAACAGCTTTCGGCAATTCATATTTGCATGAATTGGGCCATCAATAATGAAATTGGAAAAATAACATTAAGTCACATTTCAGACAATAGTCTTTTAATTGATGGAAATAAATTTAGATTGCAAATTAAAAAATATATATATATATATATATATATATATATATATATATATAGCATGAAAATGGTGTTTGTCAGCCACCCATGACAGTTTCAAGCACACTTTCTGTGCTATCATTAAGCAACTGACACCAGCTTCTGGTCTCAAATGTATTTATTTCCTCTTGGCAGATCCAAGATACCAAAACTCATGTGGTTAGCATATACATACCAGTCAAAAATCACTGAGAAGGAAAACAAATGCATAGCATGAGATGGAATGATGGTGGGTGGAGGAGGGAAAAAAAAAAAATACCAATATACATTGGTATCAGGAAATGTTCAATTGTACTAAATAAAAAAGATTTCCATACAGGGACAAATTATACATTTATAATTAAATTCACTCACAGGTGCTCTATACCTTGAAAACAGAGTGATAGTATAATTCCATAAAATGGTGTTTGTTAGCTGGCACTGTGACTGACAGTTTCATGTATTTAAATGCAATTTTTTCATAATTTAAAAGAAAAGATAGTTTTTTTTCAGGTTGGAAAGTAAACTTGTAGAAATAAAAGTTTAAAACTAAATATAGAAATGTGTTAAAAAAAACTAAAATAAACAACACTGGGAAAAAAACCCAAAAAACTCACTGCTGCCAGATCCCATATTGATAATGTACTAGCTTCACCGCCAACTATAAGTGTCCGGCCATCTTGGAGGAGTTTTATTGATCTAATATAATTGTCTCGTTGCTTTAAAGAAAAAAAAAAAAAAATTAGTCATCAGAAAAAGAAAAAAAAAAGAAAGAAAATAGATACTTGTAAAATCTTTAAAAACATGAACAAACAACAAATAGCAAAGGAAGAATTTTATTTTTAAGAAAATATATTATGCATGCATGAGATGAGATGTTGGTATGAATGTTTTTTGTGTGTTAGTATAACACTTTCTCAGTGTAAAGATACTATACACTGGCTCCCAAACAGACTGTCTAGTAAATGAAGGCAGAGGACATATCCATCATTTTCTGTGGGAGCCATGCTAAAATTCGATTAACCTATTTCAATAATATATTCATAGCTAAGTGGAACAACATTAGAACTGGCCAATTCAGAAAGGGAGTATTCCAGAAGATGCTTTAGGAAAAATGGGACACAGGTAGTACTTCATGGGAAAAGATGTACCTCTTACCAGTGTTAGGTATTTTTATTTGAGCCTGTTCCTTCAGGAAGTTCATGTCAATAATGTTGTAACAGCAAGTGACAAAACTACCAGGCAATAAATGCTTAGCAGATTTCAGTAAAGTCTATAAAAGGCCATTGCATATGCTTTAAATTTCCCTATTAAATTATTTTAAGAGTGACCAATTGTTTAAACAGCCATAAAAGTTTTACAATAGAATAAAGTAATTATATATCAGCAATAAAAGCCAACTGATTCTCAGACACTTGTCTAAATGAGTGCTCCAAGGCAAAAATAACAAAAAAGTTGGACCTATCTTTAAGCACAAATACCATTATACTTAGTAACCTGGTAACTCGAGTAATAATTTACATATTCATTAAACTAAATTTGAATTAACAAAAGTAAAACAAAGAAACAAACTGCTGCATCATGAATTGTACAGTAAAGAGTGTAATATAGTCCATTTGTCAAAACTGGAATATTAATTACTCTGGTTACATGAGGAAGTACTTAAAAGTAGTCAGCCTGACCCACTTATGCTTGACTATTGAAATATTTGAGAAGATCAGGCTTTTCTGCACCCCCATCAATATTATTGTGGGTTGATTCTATATATTTTAAAGTAGAAGAAGTCTTACCAGGCAGTCCAGTTGTGAGATTGGATTTTTATTTCCTGATTGGCTAATATCCCACACTTTTACACAGCCCTGAAAAACAAAGACACAGAATAAAGTATTCAGCAGCAGGAAAGAGGCATTAGATATCTCAAATATAAAATACAGATTTTACACATTTTCAGGAAAGACCTTTTCTTAAAGCACTAGTTAACCATTGACATGTATTTCTTGTCAAGTTATCAACATCATATATAATGTTACAGATATTAAATATAGACATTAGTCTGGCACAAGGATATAAATAGTAAGCATCTGTGATGATAGGAATGACTACAGAGTAGACAGGTGTGATAAACATTATTTTATGGTTAAGTGCTCTACATAAATATTATATACCACACAACTTTTTCCAAACAAAATGTTTGGCTGTTGATGGGCCTATTACCTAAAGACAATATTTACATAAATAAAAAAGCATATTCACTCACTTATTCTAGGTACCAACAAATATGGTATGTTTTAATTGGAAAAAAATTTTTTTTTATTAATATTTCAGATCAATAGAAGTAGATATTAAAACGCAATTCATAAAAAAATATTTGTTACCCCCTCCTTTTGTTCTGAATTGCTTCTTAATATGTCTGCTTTTAAAAAGCTTCTAAAAGTTTTAAATTTAAAACATGGAGCAAGAGAATTTTAAGATAAATTCCATATTAAGATACACAAGTATAATGGTTTCATCACTACGTTCTTGTCAATAACTTCAGAATAAGTGAAAATATATTTTTGTTATATTAAAAATAATTCCTTAAAATACAATAGTAAAAGGAAATTGTTTTGTAAAAACATTCCTTCTAATAAGTTACAAAATCTGCAAACAAGAGAAAGCAAAAATAAAGCTAAAAAGAATCTTCAAATAAAGCTAAGATTGTTTTAAAGAAGTTAAAACATCTGATTTTTAACGTAAAAAATAATATTGATGTTAATAGAAACTGTAGAAAAAACAAAGGATAAGAGTAAGTTTTATCAGAGAAAAGCAAACACTATTTGATAATATAAAGATTAAAAACAAAATAAAACAAAAGAGAAAATTCATGGCTATTTCTCTAACCAGAACAAGCCAGTGTAGTAACAAAGGCAGTTTGTTACCAATTACTGGAATGGATGAATAGATGTGCAGCATAGCAGTAGACAAGCGTAACATTATTGATCATCATTTCCACTTGTAGCCAGTAGAGATGAAGCAATGATTAACTGTGTGATAGGGCCAAGGCTCTGAGAGTCAGCCATTGTTGGTTGGTGATATGACTGAAAAGGTTGGCAGTGGTATGGTGCTTTTCTCTCAATTGTTTTTGGAAACTGTGGGTAGGGGAGGTGCATCAAAGAGGAAAGCATAAATAAGTAGAGGAAAAGCCAATAGAGAGCATATGGCAGACAAGAATCTTTGCTATCAAGAAACAAGATAGAATAATAGGACCCATTTCTATACTTAGCCCATTCAGATATTAGACAGAATGACAAAGAGTTTGAAATTGTTGCCACATTGACAAATTCATCCATTTCGGATTAGTAGGATTTTTTTCTTTTTATCAATTTATCATATAGGACATTCTTTCAGCACAAAAATAGGCAAAATGTATTTGGAGTGTTGTGATAAAAAGTGGCAAAAATGAGGTGGGTGAAGGGAGGTAAAAAAAAAGAAAAGGTCTCAAAGAAATCAGTTAAAACTATTGCTTTATATTTGTATATCTACTGAAGTTGAGTAGCAACTATAGAAAATGCTTATTTTATTGAATAAATTTCTCTCAATTGACCATTTATCCAAAACATTCCTATGTATTTGAGCCCTTTTAATGAACTGAACAATACTCAAAAATTATGAGAGCAGTAAAGTAATATATCCAAATATTATAATGTAAATTAGTATATTCAGTATAAAAATAAGAAATTGACAAAGAGAGAAAATATAGGTCACAAGAACAAATTCCTTTTTCAATATCACCAGAAAAAAAAAAAAGAAAAAAAAAGAAGAAAAAACATTGACTCAGTTTTATATGGTAATGCTGTGAAAAAGGTCAACTCTTGCAAAAATCTATTTTATAGAAGAGGAAAAAATATTAATATTCACATCTTAAATATGTATTTCAAATTCATATCTATGCAATCAACAGAATGAAGGAAGGTTAAAAAATAATTAATTTCAGAAGAAATGAGACTGAATAATTTTTTTTTTTTATAATCTGAAATATTTTCAAATGGGGCAAAACTACAGAATTAAAAAAAAAAAAAAATACTTCTATGAGAATAGGCAAAAAAGAAAAGGCCTATCCTAAATTAAATTTAAAAGTAAAATTCAAAATTTCTAGTGTTTTCATTTTGAAGCTATAAACCATAAAGTGACAAAGAAGCTCAGGGAAAAACATTGTGAGTTATATTCTTTTCCTACCGCTAATCTTTCAAAATGGAAACCCTTCTGGACATATGTAGACAGCAAAGAGCTATCATTTAATTTGCTTTTTGAAGGAGTAAGTGATACATTTACAGAATGTTAGTGAATGCCTATAGAAGAGCTGTATTTGATGTAAGCATGGTAAAGGAGATAAGTTAGTAGAATTAATGGAACTCCTAGAGAGAAATGAGAAACTGACATGCCCTGCATTAGTACGGCAGCTGCTGCTTTGAATAATAAGTCCAAATAGGCTGATACTCTCATTGCAATTCAACTGTGAAAGAATCACTACTGTGAAACTGTAGTCTTCAGGTGACCTATTGAATTGCCTGCAGTTTAGGACAGTCACTTGACTGCTCAGGAGTCTGTTTAAAGTAGGTTCTTAATTCTCACAGAAGAACAAAGGGTGCATATGTTCAGGCCCATGAAGGAGATATTCAGGGGACAGCAGTTTTCCCCATGATGATGAAGTGAAACAAGCATCTCTCACACAGTTTAAAAAAAAAAAAAAAAAGAAGCTAAGAAGCTTTTACAAGATGAGGAGGCACATCCTCCTTTAAAAAAAGTGGAATATGAAGGAAAGAGACTATGTTAAGAAATAGATTTGGAATCCTGAGGCTTTTGTGTTGACATGCTTTGAGTGCTTCTGTTATTAAATCTGTTGTAATTAAAGATGTAAACATAGAACTAGGTTTTTCTCCAGTATTTTCATCGACTAAGCACATGAAAACTCCAGATTGCATTTTTATCCTTGTTTATGTTTTAAAAGCTGACTGAACACTCAAGCAAAAGAAAGGTGAGCATGAAGATTAAAACCCCGTTTCAAATATATTCAGATGTTTATTTCAAGGATTCACTTGCACAATCTAGGTAGGTGACACTTGGGGACAACTTCTGACATTTCCAACTCACATCAGCTTTCCTCCTCAACTCTTTATCCTCCACATCCCAACGTGCAGCCGGGAAATCTAACAGATGGCATCAGAAGTCCCCTGATGACAGTCTGTCCCTAATTAATGGCCAATCTCTAATCCCAACTGTGACCATTAATATAATCCTGCCACTGGAAATTCTCACTGTCCAGTTTGTTGTCACGTACTCCCAAAAGTTTTCATTTATTTATCCATCATTTTATTCTTATTAGCCAAGTGGATGGCTGCTTTGGAGATCCAATAACCAACGCATCTTGCTTGCTGATCATAAAATGCAAAACAGTTGAGACTTAATTAAAAATCACATACAATTCTCTTCTATGTGAGTGCCTGGTCACAGGACAGGATTTACTTTTGGACCAATCTTTGCTCTTCTAAAATCAGAAAATACTTAACCCTGACAGACAATAACTATCAGTGAAATATTCAATCTATGACTGAGAAAAATGTGCTTACTGTAATGGTTAACAAGCTTGTCTTAGAAACAAATCTGGTATAATGTTGCACCATTCTTATTGTGCATCAAACTCCTGAGGTCAAATGTCAGATGAAGTTTGTTCTACCAAAATGCATATCCAAGCTTACAGAACCAGTTATTCCCAAGTGGTTACCCATCTAGGTATAGACTAGGTTCAAGGTTGCTTAACTTTGGTGATTGGACAAGAAATAGTGTTTCAACATGATATGGACATAAGTAACCTCTCATTGTTAGAGAGAATATTAGTAAATACATTTTAATAAAACTTTGGTATTTACCTTTCCACCAGTATATACATGTCTGGTAGGGTTACTGATGGTCACCGCACATACCACTTCTCCGTGGTTTAAAGTATTAATTTGCCTTGCATGTCGTGGAATGCCTGGTCCAATGAGTGCATCTGGTGGGAATGGAACTGGCTGCATTTGGCCATCAGCATTTACATGATAGGAATAAGCTCTGGAAGAAAAAAAAAAATCCAATATTTATTGCTTTATAAGATTCATGATTTCCATATATTTTGCCAGCAGTACATTTTGCCTTATGAAAGGACAGATTTTATGCCTATTAAATTTATAAAACTTCTATTTCTAATATGTGGCTGTTGTAGACACTACAAAAAAGTGCCAAAATTTATATTTGGTCTAAGCTTTCGACTCACATGTATGAGAAAGTAAATTAGATGTATTCTTAAGCATTTTATAAGCATTCTCAGCATTTTATGAATTTTTCTCATTACATGTTGTTGACATGATTTACTGTGTTCTATTGCATAGGATTTAACTTTCAAACAAAATATAAGAATAATTTTTAAAACAACATACTGTTTGAAATACATTCAATTCTCTTTATTTTCTGAAACCCATGAAAATAACTAGGGTGAGTTGAAAGCTTACACCTAATAAAAATTCAATAGACAAAATGCTTATTATTTTTAATAAGATTAAGGAAGTAAATTACATGAAAAAATTATTCCAATTATATTTGCCAACAGAAAAAAAACAAAACATTGAAGAAATACAAGTATTACACTATGTGCTAGCATTCTATAGCTATGAAAACTATCTATCAAAGCTCATAATGGTTATCCATGGGCCTTTTTAAATTGTAGTCCCTTAAATGCTCTTGAAAACCAGGCAAACAAACAATCAGACCTATCACTAATAAATGTAACAGAGGAATTATAAGAGATTAATACAGAGGACATTTGTCAGGTAAGCAGTTCAAAAGTTTTTATTTCAATATGAAAAACAATGCATACTTACGGTTTGCCACTTTGAAAGCCAGTGAAAGATGGCATCCTCATGTGCCCATGATGTTCAAACCCAGCCTGAATAATGAGAAAAGAAAATCAGAAATTTTGTGCAGATGGAGAGAGAAGGTGTCTGTATCATTTTGATGTTTTTTAAAATTTGTAACAAACCAAAGTTGGCGAAATTTAGTATAAATACAATATAGATGTAATCTCTTTCTGATTGTACCGCAAAAAGCATGTACACTGCATTTTTTTAAAATCTGAAAGCTAACAGTATTAGACATTAAAAGTCATGAGTTATAGCAATTCTAACAGTAGTCTGAACTACTGATCTCATTTTTTTTAATACTTTTGTTGCTACTAAGTTCTAACCATTCCATTCTACAGTTTCTTCAGAGGTACAGTCTGTATTAAAAGAAGGAGTTTTGCTTTTTTTTTCCTCTCTCATATTGCAAACCAGACAAATTATAGCCAATAAAAATGAATAGAGATAAATTCAGTATTTGTATAAATTCATAATGCCAGATCTTAAAGCAATAGTGATTTCATATTTTAGATGCAAGTTTGCTCTACAATCCTTTCTAAACAAAGAAATCCCTATGGACCTGATTTATTAATTTATCCGCTTGGCTAATGTACACAACCTCCTTCAGTCGCCAACTCCCCTTGCAGTACCGATACTCTTATTACTTGCAATGTGTTTCTTACTCCCTCCAGCTAATTTCTACTAGACCAGATTTTTCTCCTTCACTTTCCAATACAACTTTCTGATGTCTTGTGAGTGTGTCTTAATCAGCTAGTTTCTCGTTATTTTTTCTTCTATATTTGCTTGAAGTGTTAAATATGCAATCTTTTGCCATCCACTTCTCTGGTGAAGGACCAATTTTAGAAAGAAAGTTACAAAGAACAACTATGCTGTTAAAAAAAAACAAAACAAAAACAAAACAAAAAACAAACAATGCAGTAATGTCCACAAACTCTTTGGATTTGTTCAGTCAGTACTTTTAAATGTGACAGTTTTACTGTAGCTCCATGGTGAGGTTCTTTTTCTCCCTAAGAAAACTTTAAAATTGTTTTTTTTTTTTTTTTTTTGGTATTTTTATTTAAAAACACTCCAACACCAAGGTTGTGATATAGCGTCATGAAGGTTTATAAAATTTTGAAAACTGATTTTATATACTTACATATGTATGTAGACATATATGAGCATTTTGAGTTATTGTTATATAGGTTAACTTTTTGTAAGAATTTAAATACTGCATTTAGTTGAATTTTATTTGAAAATTCTTTTAAGCTATTTACTCAATATATCCGAGTTGGGTTAGGTTCAGATCATCACATTTTATCAAGATATGCCATACACTGTATGGCATAACTTGATAAAATGTACACATCAGTGGCTCTGCAATATTCAATATATGTGAGCGTGTTGCCTATGTGGAGCTTTTTTTCTTGCATATCCAGTTGTTTTTCAAGAGTAGGTTGGATTAAGTGTAACCTATTTGGACAAAAGGTTCCTAATTCTTTCCACATTTTGGAGGGGGGGATTTGTCTATAGTTAACCTTAAGTCAGTGTAAAGGATTTTTTTAATATTTAATAATATAAAGTAAAATTTGGATAAAACTTATAATAGCAAAAATATTAGGTTGTTACATATATTTGTTCATTTTCTTTTTCTGATGTTCTTAAAATGATTTTAAAGAAGAATAATTTTTCATAACATTTCATTATAACTCTGGTCATCCTGTAAAACTTGTCTAAATGTTACTGAAGTTTTATTTCAGATTAGATATCCCTTTGAGATGCAATGACAAGTAGACAGAATGAGTGTCTGCTTTTAATCAAGGTCACAAAGCTGCTTGAGATATTTGTGCTGTGTATGGAGATGACTTAATTACTGACAGAATGATTGGACACTGCTAATCTGTATGTTGAACAAATGAGCAGGCTCAAAGAGACAATTCTGCTGAAAAAAAAAAACTGACTGGCAATACAGTGTGATTATTGAACATGACAATGCTCACCACAATGCTGTTAACATGACCAAACATGCAATTAAAGTACTTGGATGGGAAGTTCTGCCACACCCACCTTATGCTTTATATAGCCCTTTCAAACTACAACATTTTTCATTTGCTTTCTAACAATTTGAGGGGCGTTTCATTCAATAATGTGGAACTTAAAACATGGCTTGATGAATTTTTCAAGTCAAAACCTAGTGATTTCTATCAAGGCACTAAACAGTGAATTGTTGACAGAAGGTCAAAGAATGAAGAGGAATACATTGTTGAATGGTTTATCAGAACTATTAATAAATATTAAAAAAAAAAAAAAAAAAAAAAAAAAAAAAACGAACAAATTTATCTAACCTAAGAACAATAGTCTGGACAATTCATGGAAAAACTTCTCAAAAGTCAAGAGTTAAAACACCAGTGTATATGGCATCTACACACAAACTATACATCACCGACTACTTACCATTGGGCCCCTGGAATAACCGCTTGGTGAAATACTGTTGTGTAACATGTTATTGCTATACACAGCGCTTGGACTAAGCTCTGCTGAAACTGCATGACCAGTGTGGGACATGAATGGGTATGCACCTGAAACATACGAGAATTCTAAATTAAGGATATTGTGAAGTTGACTGTATATTCGACAGTGGTTTGTACACAAGACAACACCAATCTGAACGAAACTGAAGAGATCTGACTTACTTAATGGGGGTGCTTTAGCTATGGGTTTCATGCCACTTGAGGGACCTGGTGTAACACTTCCTGAACTGGTTGGGGTGAGAGATTTTGATACAGGAGTCCCTGATTTGTCATTCTGGAAATCAAAAGAAAAAAAAAAATCAGGGATAAAACAACTAATCCATTAATGCAGAAAATATATATATATAGTGAAGTAAGTTAGGGCAGGAGAGATATTGATTAGAAGCAGGTCTTCACAACAAATGAACCTCTCAATTAAAACAGAATGGTTCATTATTTGAGGTAATGGCAAGGTGTAACATGTGCTAACTTACTATCAGACAAACAAGTAGAATTAGAATATGATATTGTATTTTTATAAAAATTATAGATTCCTGAAGTAGTGTCTGGAATGTTATAACAACTTGCCAAAAGTGATCCTTAACACAGTAGACTGCTAGAGGTCAATTATGAAACATGACTTCAAAAGCTAATTTTATAATAACTGACTCAGGCAATAAATTTTTTTTTTTCAGAGTTTATTTATAACTTCCATTAACATTGTTTTTGCACTAAAAGTATCACTGCAAATAAACATGTTGGTACAAGTTAACTTGTAGCCGGTGTTACAATAAAAACTACCATCCACAAGTTATCTTGGTTGGCAGTTAATATCAACTCTGAATTTATAGCATAGTTATTTGTAATTGCATCAAAGATATTTATAAGTCCAAAAATCATAGGTCTTGGATAAATAAACTACCACATCACACAAGGTTTAAAAAAAAAAAAAAATGCACCCTTGCCATTAGAGGCATCCATCATTAGACAAACAATAAATTTGATTAAACTGTAGAGCTCTATAAAAGAGAGCAAGAAACAAGATCTGAGCTTTGACAATTTTTGGTAGATGTCACGCACAACACATAGGCAACATTAAGACACTGTTGGTTTATTGCACACTAAGACCACTCCTGCTACTCATTGACCAATCCTATTAAACACCCGAGTTACACTTGCAGAAACCTCTCAATGAATGATACCACTGATGAAATACCTTGACAATCAAGTGGTTACTATATAATATGCACCTATAACTTGCCAAGAGATATTTGGAGGAGAGGAAAAAGAAAATCTAATATCTAACTGATGACTTGACCATACTTAAATGTAATTTTTATTTTTTTTTTTTTTTTTTTTTAACTTTTTAACATTTTAATTTACTTTCCTCACCGCAGCCTTGGCCCTTGACTGCAATCTGGTCCTCTGTTGGCCAAGATTTCTTTTTGCAAAGGCATACTGCTACTGTATGTGATAGGCAACAATACAGAAGAACTCAAAATTGATTAGTGTATTTAAGTACTGCATTAATATTTAAGTTTAAATTAAGTATTGTTAAATAAAAGGTAAAGACAATTTGGTGTACATAGGTCTTTACTTTCTGCACAAACAATTATTTTTCTTTCATGGGCAAATTTTACTGGATTTAACAATTAATTTTAATTATTCCCAAATTTATTTCCAAGCCACAAAAATTGTTAATGTACAAAAAAAAAAAAAAAAAAAAAAAAAAAATTTAAGAAAACAATCGCAGTAATGAAAACTTGGGAATCCAAAATTTCAGAATTGTGAGTCCAGAATGTTTTTAATTTGATTATGGAGTTGGCCCGATTTCAAAATGGTATGGTATGTTGGGCTATGGCTTCTAGGAGTAAAATTGAAAAAGTATGACACACTAACATTTGTGCGTAATATTATTATATATATATATATATATATATATATATATATATATATATTTCAAATTATCAAATCCTGGATGTATAGTAAACAGAGTGTGAAGAAGAATTTGAGAAGTAAAGTAAGCTTTAGATGGCAGGAAATACACCATGTTTGTGGCGTTAACTAAGATTTTACAAAGAAAAGCATAATTTCAACAAGATTCTACAATTTCTAACCTCTTTATGTTTAGATGAAGATGTTGTGCTGGCATGTGATGATGAATCACTTCGAGGACTGCTTCTGTCGTCTTTTTTATGAGAATCTTTAAGAACTTTTTCTCTGGGTGATAAGTCACCATTCACTGGCGAACTGTCCTAAAAATTACAAAAGGAAAAAAAGACATTTTATCAGATTCTATTCTCCTTAAAAGGTTCATTTAGAAATAAGCTTTACTAATCTTAGTTGTAAAAACTATTTCTTTCAGGTTTATGTTGAAAAGTAAATGCAGAATTCTAGACATAAAAAGTTTGAGTAGTAGACCATTTATTTAGAGTAGCTGTTTATGTAACATGTATCACAGGTAGGATTTGCTAGGCAAATGTCAAAACTCATTGATTCACAGTAGTCAAATCCCTGTTTTATGAACATTACTCCTAATAATTTAAAAATAATTCAGCAAATGTTATTTTATTTATGGTAACTAGATTTTTGATAATTACATTACTTGGTTTCTGTTGTTTGATACTGTGCATATGAAAAATGGAACATATCGCAGTCGCCGTCATTCTTGTTTTTTTTTTTTGGACAACACCAAAGTGAAGTATCTATAATTATCAGCTTAGTTTAATTCTCTCTCTCCCTACTTCTAACTTCTCTTCTTTCTTTCATTTCCTCACTGAAGTGTCTTTCCTCCTCTTTATATGTGATCAAAATAGTCCATTATTTATGAGGTATTGGCAGGACAACGGTTGTACAAAGTAACAAAGGGAAGGACAAGCACAATTATAGTAAGATATATGTATATTTTGGCAGGAATTGTTCTTTTAAGCTGCTATTGTTAAAAACAAACATTTTGTGTCATTTTAATGATCATTCTAATGTATGAATATACTTTCACAAATAATGGTTGTTGCATACATGCATAAACTGTCCTAAATTCAGCTGCATTTGATTTAGTTTTCATAAAATAAAATCTACTTCCTAAAACACAAAATAGTTTCTTTATTCCCTGCCCCTAACACCTGATGATGACTCAAGTGAGTTGAAAGTTTGGAACACCACATTTATGAAAGGATATTTGTACACGAAAAGATCTTAAATATAACAGGTACAAAATGTCGTTTTTAATAGATGTTTAAAAGAGTCATTCCTGTTCAAATATACATAGTAATGTGTGTCTGAATGGATGGAAGTTTTGACATTTGCTTAGTAAATCCTACCTGTGATACATGTTACATAAACAGCTTTTTTTTTTTTTTTTACATAGTCTACTACTCAAACTTTTTGTGTCTAAAATTCTGCATCTATTTTTCAACAAAACCTGGAAAAACATTACATTTTTCTTTATTATATTTATATTCAGCGAGCCTTTTCTTCTGTATATGCTTATACTGTTGGCCTTTAGAGATTTCAAAAGAAATCTTTTTTTAAAAAATAGATTCCAAAGAGTTTCATGGCTAAATAGCAAAATGATACAAAAGGGATACACAAAAATGTAGTTTTAAGCAAAATAAAGCTGACATTTTATTCAAAATTCACTTCTACTTACTTCTGCAACATCAACAACAAGGTCTTGGTCACTTTTCTCACCGTCGCTGTCCTGAAAGAAGGCAGGAATACACCATAAAAGTCTTTTTGAGGTTGTAAGAGGTTATAAACAAATGCAACTGATATTTTGCCTAAAAAGTTTAGTGGTTCTAGACAGGGCCTCTTTCTTTATAGGAGAGAGAAAATAGTATTCTATTTTTAATTGTCTGAAGTATTGTCAAGCATTATTAATTTTTGAAACTATTTATTTTAATTTCAGTTTTCCATAGAAACTATTCAGACTGTCAGTCCATGGACATTACTCAACTGCACAGATTAGAAATAATCCCATAAATTCTCAATGAGATTTGAGCTTGCATTAAAATTTCCCACCAATCACTATATTTGGATGCTGATTTGAGTATAAAAATATCTTCTGGAGCAAGAACTTATCAAAATTATTCAAACTTACATTTGGTTTCTCTTCTGCTCGCCGTTTCTTGGAGTTTTCATTAACTTCTGGTGACCGGCTTCGATGTCTGTACTTTTCACGGTCAGCTGGAGATGCAGAGGCTCTCTAGAGAAAGGCAAAGAAAGAAAAAAAAAAAAAAGTAAAATATGGCCAATTTTCCTTTATGCTAAGATTTCTAAAACAGATTTAATCTGGGCATTAGCATACGAAAAAACAGGTGAATGCAAGGAGGAAAAAAAAAAAAAAAAAAAAAAAAAAAAATTAATATCATCTAAGGAATAATACCCATGAAGAATCTAAAAAAATAAAAATTGTCTAATACTATTTCTTCAATAAAGGAACTAAAAATTTGCTGAGAATTAAGAATATCAAAGTAGTTTCAAATTATCAAACTTTAAAAAAAAAAAAAAAAAAAAAAAAAAAAGAAAAAAAGAAAAATTGCAAAGAAAATAAAAAAAACATTTACTTTACTCAAATGTGAAGTGCATCTGAAAGAATGTTACAAACTTTCAAATCTGTACATTATTTTTAAATTGTCTACAATAATTTTTTTTAAAAACTTTTTTTACGTCAAGTTTTATATATCAATTAATACCCAAGAGTTCAGAGGATCTATCAATTTGTTTAAGTTGCTAAATTACCCAGTGTTTCTTTTTGTCAGACATGACTAACGTATTAAATACTATGATCAAACATTGTTGAAAATTTATTTTCCATTAAACCATTGTATTAATATACACTAATTTTTATTTTAAATCCCCTCTAAGTACTTTATGGGGGGGGGGGGAAAGAAAGTCATTTGATCCTGTTTGTATGCAGAAATTTAAACAAAAAATGATAAAAATCATTCCCTGAATTGTTTGAGTGACAGGACTCATTGTAATGCTTTTGATGCTAGCCAAATGTTTGTTTATGTGATCTAAAAAGCAACTTCATTCGAACTGTAACTTACAAAATGGAAAATGACATCTAAAATTAGTTTTAACTTTATTTTTTATTTTTTTTAATTAAATCAAATCTCTTTATCTCAAAGGCAGTTTTCTGAATAGAAATTGCATGTAACAGTTGATAAGGAAAAGTCTAACTACTTTTGATCAAACAGAGAGACAGGATATCAGTTAAAGAATCTACTATAAAAAATTTGTGGTAGAACTTAATTTTCAGGCAAGGTTAGTAATCACACAACTTCTAAACATTAAAAGTACCATTTCAATGAAGACTATTTTATCAAGATAACTGATAACACCCGTGAAATAATTTCAACATTTAAAAAGTGTAAAGAACAAGAGACAGCAAATCATGCAAACAATCAGAAACTAAAAACATTAAAAAGCAAAAATCTTTAAGCATACTTCATTTAGTAATACCAACAAATAAAACATGTACTTTGCCAAAAGATTCCCAGAGATTCAGCCAATAATTATAAAATTCTATGAAAATCTACAAAATTCAAATGATCATTAGTCATACTCCAAAATGCAAATGACAAGGTTAATCACAACAAAAGTTTAAAAGTTGTTTTTCATTAAATATGAAAGCTACATATAAATTTAAAAAGGAGGGGGGGGAGTCACCGAATATCCTATCACAAATAATGATAATAGTTTAAATCATTAAAAAATAAATTTAAATTTTTATATAGAGTGCAGAATGCTAGGGTTTATTGGTTACCAAGCTAGACTAATTTGCTAATATAGTAAACTGATCCTCATAGTTACTTTACCGCCATGGTCTTGGATCAAACAAAGGCCCAGACTATACAAAGTCACAATATAATCCATTTCAAAATATTTAGAGAAATACTAAAATAAAAACCCAGTAACATTGGATTTAAAAAATAAAAAAAATTCATAGCCAATGTTCAAAATACCCACCATTTTGAACTTAGCATCATAAATTTTCAATAACCTTTCTTTTTAGTTTATATTTTTTATACAATAATCTCACCTGCACATTTACAAAAATTCAAAATCAAATTTAAGGATTCTTCTATTTTAATAGCACTCCAGTGTTATAAAATGTCATTCAAAAATTTGTGCAAAAGTGCTACCTTGTTGAAAACGTAGGGATTTTCTTGTTCTATTTATTTGAAAACAATCCAGTACCTTTCACTATTGACAGTATCAAAACTAAAAATTAATGAAATAATAAAAAGCAATGAGTTACTGCATCAATTCTAAAAACATTTAACTCAGCCTCATGTATTTTTGACTGCATTTTTCTAAGAAAAAAAAAAAAAAAAAACTTAGATTTGAGTATATTTTTTTCAAGTCACAAGATACAATGACAGTCGTAACTGAATCAAGAAAATGCTGACTATAATTTTTAGCTGCTGCCTATAAAGAGTGATCTAACCAAGTGCTTGCTTACTTTTACATAAAGACATTTTGTCAAGATATCTGGTGATTGTGCAGGGAGGAATGGATTCATGACTGTCCCAAAACAATTTCATTTTATAGCCATTACCTGCAACATACCAGTTCATTAGAACCTTCCCCATATATTTAAAAAAAAAAAAAAAAAGTTTATAATTCTTTGCTGCATAATGATTCGTAACATTTGTAAAATTAAAAATTTAGTATAAAAAGCAAAAGTTTTTCTTTCTAAACAGTAGATTGTTAGAAAAGGAGGAAAAAGAATTTGTTTATATAAGCTTGAAAAGCAAGCAAAAGGAACACACGCACAGCAACATTTGTAGGGTCAATGCAAACTAGACATGAGAATGCACACACAAGCAGTTTAGGGTGGAGGTTTGTAAGTAGAGCGATTTTTTTTTTTTTGTTGATTTTGAGCAAAGGGAAAGGGTATATATATATATATATATATATATATTTTTTTTTTTTTCAAGTGAACTTCCTAGCAAAAGCATGTGTACCTTAACTTTGCAGAGAGGCAACGACGAAGAGCTGCTGAAGCCCACGATGTGACCCCACTGGAAGAGAGAGAAAGAGAGAGTTTAAGTCTCTGGAGATTTAGAAAGGACAAGCTGAAGAAAGCTGAGAGAGTAGGAAGAGATAAAAGGATTGTGAAATTGTATATGAGAAGGGGATACTGATGGGGAAGATGAGAAAGTCGGGGTAGGGGGAGTGAATGGAGAAATTGGTATCAATTTTTAGAACTTTATATTTAACATTGTATCTAACAAAAACAAGGAATGTTTCCCAATTTTGTTAGGGTACTTTTGCCTATAAATATTTTATAAAGTTGTAACCAAAATGAATGCATTTGATCTGAACATTTTGCAAGGTTCTCATTTCATGTTTCAAAGTAATGTTTAGGTATATGTAAAAACTGATATAATATTATATGAAATCCAAAGTAAAAGATAAATGCAAGGAACATGGTGACACGGACATAAGGGCATAGATATTAAAAGAAAATAACCTACAAAGACATCTGCATTTATATGCATAGACTGTTAAATTAATTTCAAAACTAGTTTAACATCAGTTAACAATATCATGCAGATGACATAAGGGACTAGATTGGTTTTACTTATTACTAAACTTAAATGTATTATGAAGAAGCAAAAAGAAAAAAAAAAGTTAGTTCCATTATCAAATCCTACCCACCATGCCATAACAAGCTTCCTAGTCAATATTAGGATTTATTAAAGACTGTTTTTATTTTTGCCAAGAACTTGTAAACATTCTTTATGCCTTAGAAACTTCTTGTAAGGAGTCACATGAAATATGAAGCTTTATACAGTTTGTGTAAATTGTTGGCAGAACAGGAATTAGGAGTGATAGCAAAAAGACAAAATTTACTAATAGCTACAAAGGACAAGAAATTGTGGAGAAGCATGATTGCCAACATGGCACATAGTAGTAGTATAGATCAATATACAAATAATCTGCAACCTGTATTGCGGGAGAAAAAAAACGTTAGGAAAATAGAGTACCCCTCAATACAAAGAAGTGTGACAAGGATGCATTTCCTCACTGAATTTATTTAAACTGTATAAGCAAGATGATTTTAAGAGAATTACAGGACCTACCAGAACATAGCAGATGAAATCTTAACATACGCTATGCAGATGACACTGTTCGTGAGATGTTAAATATGTGTGTGTTAAAAAATATATATGTTAAAAAAAAAAAAAAAAAAAAAAGGAATGCTTGGTTGTGAGCAAAAGGGACAATACAAGATGTAAGTTACATATTGGGGACATCAAAATTAAAGTGCACAAATTCAATTATCTTAGCAATGGAAAAGTATGACAATTCTAGAAGTATATAAAAACAGAATTGAAGTAAAAAGTTCTGCACTAATGTCTACTTTACAATATGAAAGTGAATGCTGGACAATTTTATCACAAAGCAAAAACAAAAATATTTAAAGCAATGGAGATGTAGTTATACCAGCATATGTTGAGACTACGATAGAGGATGCAATAAATGAGAAAGCTTAGCTACAAAGAATCTGTTGCTAGTAAGAGACAGCCAAATTTTTTTTTTTTTTTTTTGTATGGACAATGAAAAAGAAAAAAGGCATATTAAAAGCAAAAGAAACAGAAAAATGGAGTAATGAACTTAACAGGTTTGTACAAATGGATAGAACAAGTACTACAAAAAGAGAGCAAACTTATAAAGGAGAAACTGTTGAGAGGACCAAAAGAAGCCATGGAGAGTTATAATCACCTACATCCTGAAATGACAGGGGAGGAGAGATAGGAGAGATCAAAGCTATGATAGTTTAAAAGTGCTTGCAGTTGTGCAAAAATAAATTCTAAAAATCTCTTGCCAATCTTTGTTATACCAACTTTATATGTTAAAAAATAAAAAACTGCTTGAATCAAATGTAATGAAACATGTATTTTGATTAACCAAGGCACCTGCTGCAAAGCTAGGGTTCACAACATAATCTCAAAAAGGTATTGATAGTTAGATCTTCATTGGTGCTCCATAATGGCAGAACTGTGCTATCAAAATTTAAATATTTAAAAAAAAAAAAAAAAAAAAAATTTACAAATTCCCCATGGCAATAAATATGGAACTCATTCAGATGCATTTAAAGTCCAAATAAAAAGTTTCTTTTAGTAAGAATCAAAGCAATTTTGCTGATTTATAAATAAATCACTTCTGTCCTTTTTGACAGATTAACGCAAAAAAAAAAAAAAAATCTCTGACCAAATTTCAGTGTTGTGCTTGTTATGCTAAAACGTAAACTATTAAAATGTCAATAATGTAACCTAATCTGAACAATGCTTTGGGCACTTTGTCATGGCATAATGATTAGCAAGGTTATTATTATTATTCAGTATCCAAAATGATTGTCACATATTTCCAGCCTCATGTAAAAATGTTATTATTAGTAATATGAGTCATGGTGTCATGGTTAGCAACCTTGTTGTGCAGATCCCATGAGTAATGAATTCAATCCTAATCACATACTGATAGTCTTGTGCAAAAACTAAGCTATGCTCAGTATATGATTAAGTTTTTTATCTAATTCTTTGAATCATAAAAGATGTATTATTGATGGGACTGGAAGAGTTAACTGGAAAAGAGAACAAAAAAAAAAAAAATTTTGTTCATTAAATATTGAAGAAATAATGTTAGGCATCTCAAGACCTATTCGGATGTCAATGTATGAAAGATGTACTTTTGAAAATCTACAAGAATTATACCATCAATTAGAAGTTTTTATCACTATTCCAAAAGTGACATTGGGTAGCTTTATTCTACATGAATCTGCCAAGAGTGAAAAAAAAGACAGCCCATAAGAAAATACATCATTTACCTTTTCAGGCTACCAATGTATTTTTCCCCACCAAATATCAGCTTAATTGATCATGTGTGTGTGTGCGTGGGGGGGGGGTATTCAATGCAATTTACAGAAATGAGCCCAACTTCCTCTGGTTATTTTTCATCTTGTTGAAAACAGAAAAATATTTGGGTTCATTATAATGCTCTGATAATTCGTTGCCTCAAGAGTTAGTATAACGTTAAACGGAGGGGAGACTGAAATCAAATTATTGATTATGGGCAAATCAATTTAAAACAGAATTCATCAAAAATTTTTTTTTTTACCCAACATCACAGAGAACATAAAAAAGAAATTAAAACTGTTTTCCTGAAGAATAAAAATATAAAGAGTGAGAAATAAATTCTTCTTATTGAACCAAATTACAAGGAAAGGAAAATATCCTAACAATAAAACATTTTTAATTGTTAAATAGACATCCTTTTAATTTCTTTTAAAAAATGTTACATAATTGGTTCATAAAATAAAAGCAATTATATGAATTTTGATAATAAAATTTGTATTAACCCTTTTAGTACTGTGAGATTTTTGAACACCTCAAAATATTTTTCCTTAATACTTAGCAAGTGGCAAATTAAATTTTCATTAGTCAAGTAGCTTTCTGAATACCTCTCAAGTAACAAGGAGTTACTGGTTTTCGTTACAATATTTGTGTGAATTATAAACAGTTTTGTTTACTGAAAATAAAAGGAAACAATTTAACATTTTAATTTTTAAACTTACAATTTGCTAATATTGGCCATTTAATTAAACTTTTCAAAATAAAACTTTATTTATCCTCTAAAAACCAGGAGGAATACTCAAGTAATATATAGCCAAAAAATTAAATATATCTATAATATTTTGAATTGGGAGGGGGCGGTGTCTGAAAACCCCACTGGAGTAACAGAGGGTAAAATATAATTTGCATATGAGAAAATCTGGAGCAGAACATTAGTCACTAATAGAATGTGATTATACAGCCACTAAACAAAAAACAAAATTTTGTAATCAAATACTCTTAATTGTTACCATGTTAAATGATTGGTCTCACAATACAATATACATTACTTGATCTGCTTTTCAAACTTAGAATAAATATTTTTAAAATTGCAGATTGACAGATGCCTAATCTAATATTTGTCTGTCTTGGGAGATGAAAGAGTTGTACTTTGAGTGAGGTCTCAAGACAGCATCTAGACTGCTACTTCCTAGTACTCCAGCTTATAAAGAAGACTGGGTAGATATAGAGGACAGACTGTGTTGCCTATACAGTAGGTACCTATCTCACCATATAGCTGAAATAGTTTAATGGAAAGGTGAGTGCCAAGACAAATGGTTCTAGTGACATTGCAGGAGTTGTTAGGATACTGTTGAATATAGCCATGAACTGTCTTAGGGAATCTAAATCTATATCCCTCGCCCTTGTGATTGACTTCTGAAGCCTTTTCCATGAGTAGGTATAGGCATAAGGCAGTAATTAAAAAAAAAAAAAAAAGGAAAAGAAAATAGGGGGGGGATTTTGATATAAATAAAAGGTGATTGGCTTGTTATTTAAAAGAAAATGTGTTTAATATCTGTTAAAACTGCTGTTTTCTTAAGACCAGATGATGTCTGAATATTTTCTTTTGTCCTCTGAAACTTTTTTTTTTTTTAAAACCTCAAATATTAAATTAAAATACATTTAACCGAGAATTAGCATAAAAAGTCAAAGAAAATTAATGGAAATTTGTTCAAAATTATTTAGATTTGATAACTACACTGACCAAAAAAAAATCTCAATATGCAGCATCAATAAGATTAAATATTAATTAAATATAGAAAATGTACAGTAAAAACAGGAAGGAAAAAAGATTTAGTCTGACAGGTTCTACAAAGACTTCAGTAGTAAGAATAAGAATAAAAAGGGATATTGATCTTAGAGTAGCAGAACATGGTATATGAGTAGTTGCTGAAGACATCAGGGAATACTTTTTTGTATAATGGGAAGAGAGATAGAGAGAGCCCTGGTGGAAGGTTCCAGTGCCAAGGCAATGAAGTCCATCTGATCTTCATTTGAGTAGGACAACATTGTCATTGACTGATAATGTTTGTCTAAGGTGAATATGAGAGTTTGAAAAAAAAAAAAAAGCCACCCACTCCGAGACAAAATCCGAGCTTAGAGGCAGGAGGAGATGACATTATGACAAAGGAGATTGTAAACAGTTATGCAGATATGTGCATCTGTGCACTCAACTGTGTGTGTGTGTGTGTATATATACACACACACAAAAATAACTTGCGAGATCAGGGTAGGTGCATGCTATGTGGTGTAGCACATCTAATCCAATGCCAGTGGCCATCAACAAACAAAGGAATTGTGAATGCCAGCAATGACTGTTTGCACAGATCTATTCCCACAAACAATCCTGTATGTGCGTGTGTGTATACACACGAAAGTTGATTTGTGCTCGAGATAAGAGAAGGGAGAAAATAAAAAGGTAAGAGGAGAAAAAGGCATGTATGGAAAAGGTACCCTCCATGGCAAATATTAGCTTTTCACTTCAGGGGCAAACATCTAATATCTTGTAATAACACTTGTGTGAGCCCAGTGTTTGAGTTTCACACCAAATTCCTGCTACTTAGCTTAATTCAGTTGGTGGTGAACACACACAAAGAGAGAGGCAGCTCCCAGTTGGTAGCCTGCTTATATTGACACTGCCTGTGGACTCACTGCAAACAAATAGGGGTGGTTAGAGAAAAAAATAGTAGCAATAAATGAAGGGGAAAAAATTGGAGAAGAGAGTAAGAATGTGGATAAAAAATAAAAAAAAAATAAAAGGATGGGAGCGGGGATAAAATGAAATCCCACTTTTGCTTTCCCGTTCACCCACAATGCTTTGCACACAAAGAAGTGTGTGATAACAGAATATAACAGTTGTTGGTGATGGTGGCCCTTGACTAGACTTGGGAAGTCATTGAATGAATACTTCAATTTCTTTCCTCTTTCCTCTTGTGGTATATAAGCTGTGTAGATTGATGGGCAGTGGTGGTGATGGAAACAGTTCAGTTGCCCTCAGCAACCTACTGATTGTTGAAGGAATGAGGTTGGTATCTTTGACATACAAAGTTAAAGTGAACAGATATTGTAACAAAATATCACTTTTGTTATGAGAGGAATACGAGGAGGGACAAAGTTAAGAAAAAACAGTGTAGAGACAAAGAAATTATATGGAATGATCCAACTCCCTTAAAAAAAAAAAAAAAAAAAAAAAAAAAAAAAAAAAAAGAAAAAAAAGAAAGAAAGAGAGAGAGAGGAAAGCAATTATTTTCTGATCATCAATGTTTAATAAATGTGAGACCTACAGGGATTTATTGGTCATCTCATGATCATAGAATATAACAGTCATTTTCTTTTTCTTTTCTCTCAAAAATGCTGAGATCCTCTGATACAGGGTCACATTTTATGATAGGGCATCTTTAAATTCATAGATTCTTGCAGTCATTGCTACAGACATCATGAGTAATACTGACCATGACCCTCTGTGTATGATGAGAAGGTACTTTTTTCAAGGATGGATCCCTGGTCACATGGCTTCAATTATTAGGGTCATAAATTAACCTAAATTTTTGGCTAAGACCTAAGTGTTCCAACTGTCCCTATCAATGTCGAGTATTTGCAGAAAGTTATTGCCTGGGTAGAAAAGTTAGTTATGGGGGAGTGGTTTATTTAAGTTCCAACTCATCTACACTTCTGTTCACATCAACCATTGACAAGTCAACGATGAACTCTTGTCCAGAATAATTTGCAATAAGACAAAGCAGAAGGAGATTCATGTCTTTCTTAAAGGCATTAGTGCAAAGTGAAGCAGCCGCCGTGATTGGAATTTAAACTGCTGAGTGTTGTGTGCTGATATTTCATCTGGTGTTTCCAATACTAAAATTTCAACCAAAGCATTCTCTCACGGAATCACAAATGTTTTTGCATTTAAGATTAACACTGTTTGCAGAAAGAGGAGTGGGCATATTCATTGTCTGCTATAGGTAAAAATAGAATAATGATTCTGAGCATCATTCTCGATAATAATCAAGGTCTGACAAAAAGAATTGAGAAGCATTTAATGTGTTCATTAGCTTCACAATTTAAGAATTCTATAAAACAAATCACATTTTTCATAAATTTTATCAGGCTTGCAAGAAAAAAAAAATATTTGCAAGTAAAATTTGAGAGTACTTGTATAAATAAAAGACACAAGATGATGTGCTAAAAGATGGGGAAAAAAAAACAAAAGAAAAAAACAAAAACAAAACTATATCGCCCTTAACTCTTAAGAGAAACAAAAAGATTACTGAACTTATTTGATGCATTTTATTCTCTCCCATATATATATATATATATATATATATATATATATATATATATGAAACACTAATAGAAGACAAATAGACTGAATGTGCGTTAAGTTTGTTTGGCTAAGTTGCTGTTTGCAAGTTAAACAAATTGTTCGAAGTGGAAAAACAAGACAAAAGAAAAAAAAAAAATGGAGGATGAAGCTGGTGAAGATAGCATATAATCAGTGTCGTTGGTAGGAGTGGGAGGATTCAACAAAGCAAAATAAGAGTTTAGTAAGGTGAATGTTGGTGAAGGAGGTGATAAGAAATTAAACCAAAAATACAAGAGGAGGAGGAAAAGAGAAAAAAAAAAGAGAAAGAGGACCAAACATGACGAATTAATAGCAAAAATTAAAGCATGTCAGATGATTTGTCTCTCAGGAATGAAAGCCAGAAAATTATAGGCAATTACCAGGGAATGGAGGTGAAGACCAAATATATTAAGGCTAAAAAAAAAAAAGTTATGCATTTCATTTTGTATTTCTGACAGAAGAAGCTTAGTTTTTCATAATGCCATACATTTCTGCTCATTTATCAAGGACAGAGTGTGTGTGTGTATATATATATATATATATATATATATATATATAAGAATGTTCACTCTTCAACATTATGACCCAGGTTTGAATCTTACCAGGATTGATTGTCAGAAGGTGACTTCTTGATGTTATTGATCAGGAGGAGAGGATACCAGCATGAAAGTGATTGAAAAACCATACCATGATTTGGCCCTAGCCTTGTGATTAAAATTGGGCAAGTAGAACTGTTCCGAGGCCATTGACGGATGTGCTAACAAAGTCACAAGACATCATGACCTAATGTTTGAGCATACTGGCCTTGTTCAAACTATCAATCACACCAGATTATGCACTCTCACAGAAACTGTATGTCCACTCAGCACAGTTCCTCCAGGGTGCCAAAGGAACATAAATGTTCCTGAGCAGGAGCCTACAATAGGGATTAGCTAGCCACCTGAGCAGACAGGTGTGCACGTAAACACAGACACTATATATATATATATATATATATATATATATATACACACACACACAATCATTCAAATCCTGCATAGACAAACTAGAATTATGATACTTACACACAAATTATATACACCAATACTGCTTGAAGAATCAAATGCAAAAATAAAAATCAGAAATTTTCTTCTATATCTCATTCTTTGATGAAGCTTTAATAAAAGCAAAAGATGTTAGATTTATGTTTCCTCTTTGTTCATTATATCATTCTGTCACATTCCAATCTGTATTTGATCCCAATTCATATACATGCATGTTGATTGCTTTGGTAAAATACTTTGTGAAGGACCAGATTCAAAAAAGAACAGACAAGTTAAAACTCCACAAGGAGGCAATAATACTGATTTCTAATGAGTTGGCAATTTATGATTTTAGTAGCTAGTGACAGAAGGATTTTTGGTTGTGTTAGATGCTTAAAAAAAAAAAAAAAAAAAAAAAAAAGATTTAAGCATTTGTTAACAGGGATATTGGTATAAAAAGATTTAACATCTAAAGCAGCCATGAATTTATTATTCATCATTATTCCCCTTAGTTTTTTTTGAAAAATTTTTAATGTGATGGGCTGATTGTTTCAAGAACTTGGAGAGGCATCAAAAGTTTGTGGGGAGTGCTATAAGGAGGGCTGGGGCACCTTGTTATAGGCAATGATTAGTAAGATTGTTTTGTAAATCATTATAGATGTGTAGTAAATATGATCAACACTCGATTCCTGGACATGTTGCCTTATGTCACACTAAGATGAGTGAAGACGAACACAAGAGTGACACACACACAAAGGAGAAAAAAAAAAGTTATTTCCTGGAATCTAATTAATTAGCCCCTATCAGGTTTGTCAATGAGAAGTGTTACTATTGTCTAGACAGTAAGACAATTATGGTAAAGTGGTTGTCCAAAGAACTCTTCTTAGTCAACAACTGAGGCATGTCAATGATAAAGCATTTATTTAGCTAAAATATCTGGTAACAGAATAAAGTGGAAGTGAGTAGATTCTTTCTTTCCCCAAAGCGGTACTAAGTGAACACAAACCACCTCAGGCAAAGACTGACTTATAAAAAATAAATTGTATAATGACTATCAACTAATTTCTCTTGCAATTGAGTGATAATTCTCTTATGTTTGAGGTGGAGTGTATATGCCTCAAAGATTTGTGATGCTATTTTCTCCAGCCATTTTCAACACATTTAAAGCATCATAGGAGATAGCTGAACTTTAGAACTGATAAGTTTTCATTATTTCATATATAATTCTGGTTGCTGTTTTTGTTTTTTGTATACTTCAGACAATACCTGTTTTAGCCTTGTCAGACATTCCTTTTTATACTAGTCATGATGTAGTTTGACTGCTATGAAAATAGAATGAAGATCATAGAATCCAACATGCACCTGAAGAAAGCTAAAAGGTTTTAAATGAAAAGTTAAAAATAAACCAAATATATGGAATAATTTAATAAAAAAAAAAAAAAAAAAAAAAAAAAAAAAAAAAAAACCCAACACCTATTCTTGATTATATAAGCATTTAACTTTTAACAACCACAGATACTATTAACAGCATGTATACAATTTGTGCACATTCTGTCAATAGAAACACAAACAAATGCAATGAATAGATGGTACAAGTCATATGCAGTGTCAATGCAGTG